CTCTCTGGCTCTCTGCTGACTACGGTTCGCCTGGCAGTTCTCTATGACGATGTATACTACTCTGCGAGCTCCCTGCTACACTGTTCTTCGGTCATGTTGACTGCAGTAGTGGGGGCCGTATCTGGACATACAGTATGTCCAGATACGGTTTTCTTCGGTCATGTTGACTGCAGTAGTGGGGGCTTTATCTGGACATACAGTATGTCCAGATACGGTTTTCTGAGGTCATGTTGACTGCAGTAGTGGGGGCCGTATCTGGACATACAGTATGTCCAGATAGGAAGAAGAGGACAATATACATATACACGTAAGTGTTGTCCTCTTCTCCCTCTCTGCCTACGCTTCAGCAAGCAGTTCTCTATGACGATATACACTGGGACTTCCCTGGCTCCCTGCTACAGTTTTCTTCGTTCAGGTTCAATGGCAGTGGTGGCGGCCGTCGCCACGTGGCCATGCTGTGCCTCTAGTATCAGCGGGCTGTCTGCTGGAGTGTGTTTTCGGGCTGTTACAGATCTTTCTGTTTCGTGGTTGGTGGTCCCCACCACCTCAGGGGATCAGCTGTCGGGCAGTTATTGGTGCTTAACTGCAGCCGGGATGGATGATCACTTAACAGTATCATCGGTTAGGGGACTCTGCAGGCCGTAAGATGGTTCAGCCTCTACTGATTGATGTGTCGGTGAAACTCCGACGAAACAGTCTGTCACACACCCCCCTTGTTTGTTGTCCTCTTTACTCTTTACCCTCTCTACCTACAATTCATCGCGCAGTTCTCTATGACGACGTATGTATATTCACATATATATATATATACGCTTTTTGTCACACATGCACGTCGCTCGTTCGACAATGAACTGTGGCGCCCTGCTATAACCAGTGATACAGGTATCGTGTGTACATGCAGTATCACAGCCATCTTGTGTATATATACACATTGATACATACATGGAATTTTATGTACATACATTACTACAGATAAACTAATCAGAAACTAACGTAAGAGAAGAAGAAGAAGCCGAATAAGAAAAGGCTGCTGATGGTGATGGTCATGATGATGATGATGATGATGATGCTGTGATGATTGTGATAGTAGTGATGATGATGATGATGATGATAATGCAAAAAGAAGGAAAAGAACAGACGATGGAACTTGCAGATTCTATGTCTGCATGTCGTTTAGTGGGACACGCAGAATGTGCCTACAGATTCATCCCGATCCCGATGGGATGCATCTGTAATCGTCCTTGAGTGCGCACGTGGCCCAACCAAGATGGAGATGATGATGATGATGATGATGATGATGATGATGATGATGATGATGATGATGATGCAAACAGAAGGAAAAGAACAGACGATGGAACTTGCACAGATTCTACGTCGCACAAGATGGCCTACAGATTCTATGTCGCACAAGATGGCCTACGTTTACTGGGACACGCAGAATGTGCCTACAGATTCATCCCGATGCGATGAATCTGTAATCGCCCTTGAGTGCGCGCGTGGCCCACCAAGATGCACGCAGCCGGAAAGGGCTGAGAAGCGCACGACAGGCAGACGGCAAGCACAGTACCAACGAAGCCGTGGCCGCGAGGGCAGCAAAATCAGCCGCCCCCGACTGTTAATGAACACCAATGAATTTGAATCCTGATGGGATCAAATGGATAAATGAGGTCAGGGGCTACCCCCTTTCTCTGAACGACCAGAAAAATCACACGCATCACCCCTCGACAAACCGGACAAGAACGACGGGGTTCTCGACGATAGGGAGGCTAAGACAAACCAACGACGTATAAGGAGGCCGTACTCACACTCCCATCTTCTCCTCTGGTCTGTCGTTGCGGTCAGATACATCCCCCCCGGCTCGTCCCAGTCCAGGTATGCCCTAACACCACGTACTAGCAGAAAACGACATAGATTCTGACAAGTCGGTGGGCGGTCACTTGGGAGCGAACAATCTGTCAACACACACACCCCTACGCCCCCTTGTCCTTCGATTACAACTCTTTCTAGTGGATCTGTCCTTCTAGTGGATCTGTCCTTCGATTACAACGCTGTGAATCTGCTGCGCCTTTCTAGTGGGGCTCAGCAATGAACAAGCAGCAGCAGAAATCCTCTTAACGGTGATGTATCGGGTATTGTACAGGGACGAAAGCAGGAGGTACTACCGTCTTTCCCCCGAGCACAACGCAGCCTTATTTTGGCTGTAACTGGCCGCAAAAATAGCTTGTATACATTCATTTTTAGGGTGGTTATGTTCTGGGGAAGACGGTAGGCTATTCTGTGCCATAGCCACAAAGTTATTAACTACCGATAGGCGTCGGCATCCTGCTGACTCCTGGACTGAAAGTTGTGCCAAATAGAACGTACTGTCATTCTCGCTGCATCTGGACTGAAAGTTGTGCCAAATACAGGCAGAATGACCGTCCGTTCTATTCGGGGGAAGATGGTAGCCGGTGAAAGTCCGACGAAACAGTCCGTCACACAGCTACCCGCTCTGAGCGCGTTAGCGAAACAAAGAGCAAAGGGAACAGAAGAAGAAGAAGAAGAAGAAGAAGACGAAGAAGAAGAAGAAGAAGCAGGCAACGCACCCAGACTGTCATGCTTTCGTTAGGGTTCACCGAGCGACTGTGACCAATGCTATATATACAGATGTATGTCGCATTAGTCACACATCTATACTCAATGTCTATATTTGCGTGTGTGTGTGGGTCTGTACGTGTGCGTATAACACATACAATTTATGCATATATGCCATACCTATAACAACTGCAAACAATAGCCTCACGCAACTGAACAAGCAATGTGTGTGTGTGTGTGTGTGAGAGAGAGAGAGAGAGAGAGCATATTGCCTCCACCTACCTTCATTGAGAGAGAGAGAGAGAGAGAGAGAAAGAGAGTTCGCCCTCCATCCTTCTTCCATCCTTCCTCCATCCTTGTCCAACACGTCTTGCTGCTGTCTCGTTGCCGCCGATCCCCCTCGGTCTCGGTAGCGATAAACGTTATTTCAATTGCCGCCGCTTCTCGTCGCTCGCTGGAGACACCTTCTGCCGCCAGCAAAAGGAAGCCACCGGCAGCGTCTATCGTCAACTCCTATCTATCTATCTATCTATCTATCTATCTATCTATCTATCTATATCTATCTATCTATCTATCTATCTATCTATCTCCGTCTATCTGTCGATCTATGGTGTACCAAACGACATCGTATGTCAATACTACCCCACTTCTTTCAGTTGTCTTGTAGATGACTCTACACATAGTGACAGATTGATCACTTGGTCGCTCGTCAGTATTCATCAGCTAGACCTACCTCTCTCCTGCAGGGAGAGAAGCTGCCCAGCTGCCAGCGGATCCTGCTGTCGGCATAGTGGATTGGGAGGGGAAGAATAAACATCTGCGGCTCAATCGGAGTGGAAGGAAAGCAGCTGTCAGATGTGAAAACATGGAAGGAAAACAGCTGTCAGATGTGAAAACGTGGCGAGAAACTCGAAGCGGGTAAGTCCAAATGAGATACAGGGGACTCGGAAGAGGACGGTTAGGGTCTAAAAGCGAAGGAAAAGGAGAAGCGGGTGCTAGAGAGAAAGAGGAGGGGAGAGAGAGAAAGGAGGAGAGAGTCTGCATCGCATTCATCGGCGAGGAGGGTGGTTATCGATCCCACCACCGCATGAGAAAGAAGTCGGGACTGAAAGGCTAAGAGCGACGAGAGGAGGCTCACTGCGGGAGGGGGGAGGGAGGGGGGAGGGAGGGGGGAACGAGGGCGGAGGGAGGGGGGAGGACAGAGAGGTGAAGCCAGCCAGAGTAGCCAAGGCATGAAAGATCTATACATGCAGGATAGGGAGCGAGAGCGTCACATTTCTGAAATCGTCATTATGACGGAAGGCGGAAGATTCATTCTCGTTTCTGAGAGAGAGAGAGAGAGAGAGGTGCGACGAAGAGTGGACAGCGAATGGATGATTCACAAGAAATGTGATAAAACGAACGCGGAAGATTCATTCTCGTTTCTACGAGAGAGAGAGAGAGAGAGAGAGAGAGAGAGAGAGACCCTAAACGCGAAGGAGAAAAGGCATGACGAAAGAGCAAGATTAAGAACTCGGAAAAGGGTATGATTGCTTGGTATAGGGCCAGGCAGCGATCCAACACAATCAAAGAATCACAGCTCCTCCTTCATCCACACGTCTCGCTAAGAGTCAATCAATCACTCAATCAGTCAATCAACCAGCCAGTCGACCAACCAATCAAACCAGCGATCCCCCTCGAACCACCTCAGTTCCCCGACCTCGATTAGTACTGTGAAATCGTCGACACACAAACCAGTCGAGAGTCAATCAATCACTCAATCAACCAACCAATCAATCACTCAATCAACCAACCAATCAATCAATCAACCAGCCACCCAACCAAGCAAGCAAGCAAACTACCAATCTATCAATCAAAGACAATCAGTGAAGACGCCAATGAAGAAATCGAGCTCGCGGGCAGTCTCGGCAATCACCAGGCCCCGATTGAAGCGTGTGCCCCCCCCCGCCTTCCCCCCGGCCGCGG